GTCGCATAATATTTAACTTTCTGAACACTCACTACATCCCGTGAGTGTTGTTTCCTTTTAGGAAACCCCTGAAAACGGCGATTAAAAATGGCCTACCGTTGCAATTTACTATGAAAATCGAGAATTTCATATGAGTGTCGATCACTTAAATTTCATAGTAAAAAATTTATTCACCTGATCTGGATCGACTGATATATATTTTGATATACATATACGTATGCGTGCTATACAAATTTGCCTATTTGCAAATGGATGACTAGATTGTACGTACTATGAGATCACCCATTATGATATTATTGCATGAAATTTCACCGGGAATTAATCATTGTTATATAAATTAAGTGATAAATAAAATTCGATAATTCGAATCATAATAGTGTAATTGCCGGTTACTGTTACGGCATAAATCTCAAATTAAATGTTCCCGCTGTTACACAGCAAGTTTTGTTGCTGTTGGGGTTGAATTAAAATTATTTTATTTAGTGTCTAGTGTAATCGTTATTAATGGTGTGATGAATTGAGAATTGTACATTTGTTTATATTTATTTAGCCTGAACCGAGTGTAACTAACCATAAACGTCAAAATTAAATATAATATGAATGCCATATATTCGATATTTTAACCTAGAACCGGGTTGTCAACAATCTTAATAAATATCAATTAGTGTTAGTATCAGTGTTTTCGCTTTATACCGACACTGTAAGTTTATTATGACATCTCGTGAAATGATTTCAGAATAATACAATTCTATAATTGGGACGTTACTGGCGTAAATTGAAATCTGTAAGGTGATGATCGATTAAACGCACAAAAGTGGAACTCGATTGACAGCTTTATATGGATTAACTTTGTACTTACGTACGTACGTATGTCTACTTCTTTAGGTACCTTGGCACTAAAGTATACGTACTATGCGGTTCCTTATCGTTATTGACTCTTTTAAAGAATTAAGCAGGTTAATTCACCCGGTGGAATTAATTTGCGAGCTTTACTTTGGAAGTTTTATACGACAATATCTGAAATTTTAAAAATGTTGACACATCCTAAATGCATCTAATATGCGTTATAAATTATTTATTATTATGAAAATCACTTTAAGAACTCTTTTAGGTTAAAATTAATGTATTATGAGTTTGAAAGTCCTCTTACAGCATTTTATAGGTTATTCTGTTGAAATTTATGATCGGGCAATATTTATACCTTAACGTTAATGGCTAGATGATTCAATTAATTCAATATGTGCACATCGTTATTAATAGTCACGAAATCGATTCGATTTTAGTACAAAAATCCGACACAATGGTTGGATACGTATGGTAGGTAACCAGTGCAATACCTGTTTTCATCATTAGAGTTGAAATTTCACATGTTGCAGGAATAGTGCCCTTTTTGGATTGAGGCGAAGATTTTGTGAAAGAGTTCCGATTTGAATCGAGATGCCGGATGTATTATCTGTCAAATAACTTGAATAAAGCTTCCAATTGACAATCGGTCTTTTGTTTAAACGAATGTATCGTGATCACGTGATGCTCTTTAGCACACCGGAGATAGGAATATAAGATTCAGGGCTGAATCCCTGCAGGACTTGTTTTTTCCAAAAGTAAAAAAACTAAGTCTTTTGTTTTTTCCCGTTTTGACTTGCAGAATGCAATATCCATCGTAGGTATCCAGTTTTATTTCCGCATTTATCTAAATCATTATGAGATAACAAAAAAAAGTTGCACACCATAATTTTAATTTACTATAGCCATGAAAAATAATGGTACTATACACATAATTATTCAAGTTTAAATAGTCGATCGTTTCACATTAGTACACTTGATTGAATCGAGTTGAGACCAAACATTTGTACAATAAATCTATTTTGAATAAACAGTGTACGATCAATTTGGCTGTTTGTGAGATAGTTGATTGGGGATACCGAAATTTTTTTAAGCTTTTTTTTTTTTTTTTTTTTATACAGTCGCTGGTTAATGGCTTAACAACCAACCGACCTTGCAGTATCTGCACCTCTTCTCAAAAACCCGAAAAAAAAAAAAAAAAAAATTGTCCCTTACTAGTCTTACTAGTCAGATACACCGGAAGAGGTGTTGAAGTTCAAAGGAACCCTTACTTGGTACATTGCTCCATACTCATATATGATATAGAAAAATATTAATAAAAGTAGAATAGACGTATTAATTTAGTAAGTATTTCATTTAAGTTATAAATTATAACTGAATTTTTTATTATTAATGTAAACTCTTCAAAAATTTTTATCGAACTTTTTTTTTATTTTTGTCTATATAGATCTCAAATATTTGTAAATAAAAAAAAGTGAAGAAGGAAAAATAACATTAAATTCGGACAAATTGAGGAATTCCAGACTTTTACCAATGTTGATATGATGAGGATAATACATTATTATAATAACCTTTTAACGATACTAGTTTATTGTACGATAATATGTCAGACCACCGTTTTAGCACAGACATTGAGCGTGAATTATCGAGCCGTTCCTCAAATATTAGTAGCTGGACAATATAATGGGTTATCATTATTTAATGGTGACTCGAGCGAGCAAGAATTTTATAACGCAATGACTGCATCATTGTTAACTCAGTCGCCAAACGGTATCTTTCAACTTTCTGGCTCTACTTCGTATAATGGAACGATTAATGCGTTATGCGTAATGCCTCGGTCTCAAAATAATCTTTATGATATCGATGTATATGTTGGTGGTAAATTTACCACTCTTGCTAATAATACGTTTAATAATATTGCGCGTTACGATCCCGCTAGTCGAACATTCCACGCGCTTCTGGAAGGTTTGGATAATTCGGTTTTCTCTTTGTACTGTGATACTGATAATTCGTTGGTTTATGTCGGTGGTGAATTCATCGCTCCAGTAAATTCTGCTGCGCATGGTATCAATATCTCTGACTTTGGTGGTAGTGTTGCAATATGGCATGTGGGAAATTCTTCTTGGTCGGCTCTCCCTTTTAAGGGATTTAATGGTCCAGTGTATACTATTGCATATAATACACAGAATAAAACTGTTTATTTTGGTGGTCAATTCGATGCTACTAGTGATGGTAATTTTGGTACTATACCTAATAATACACAACCAATAGGCATACAAAATACTACTGTAAGTATTTCTAATCATTATCTCGTTCTTAACGTTAATCTTTTCTATTTATTTATTTATTTATTTATTTTAAAAAAAAAAGATATCATCTGGAAATTCGGCAACTCTTACAAATTTTTCTGATCCATCAGTATTAATATGCAGTTCTGAGCCTGATGGACCGGGTAACACGTGGTTAGTGGAAAACAACGGAGTGGGTGTATTACGAATAAAATTTGATTATGAATTAACGCCCACGGCGATTGGTCTCAAGAATACTAACTACCAAGGAAGAGGAACTAAGACGTTTAGGTAAATATACGATTCGATAGCTACAAGAATCGTGCGTATGTAGAATGAATATTTATTTTGGTTATTCGTGTGAATCAATAGAGTGTATGATGTTTCTAATAGCATTCATTTGTGATTTAATCTCTGCTTATTATCAATGCTAGGTTGATTTCCATTCCAAATAATGACATAGTTACTCTTTCATATACGAATTCTACCAACGGAACTACGTTTACTTGCTCGGATTCATGTCCTTTGGGTCCTTCTAATACTGATTATCAATTATTTACCTTCGTTTATCCGACAACAATGAGGGCTATTCAGATCTTAATTTTAGATCATTATGGTGAAGGAGGTGGACTTCATGGTATTCAGCTATATCAAAGTGGTACGAAAATTTTCATAAATTTTAAAATACATATGATTTGTTACCTTCCTAATTTCTTCAATTATATGATTATATTAGACATTATCGTTCGTGCAATTAGTAATTATGGCTTCCCTACATGTTCAAGTTCTTCGTTTTATCCAAATGTAACAACCATTGGAGACTGGACTTCTGAATTACTTCCTGGGATTTGGGATACTGTGTTGATGATCACGATTCCTGCAGAAGAGGTAGCTAATAGCACAGCAAAGCTTATAATGAAACCGTATGTCCCGCAATCCGGTTACTATAATGTTACCCTTAGTTCACCATCTTGCCTTTCAGTTGGATGTGATAGCGTTATACCTATCGATGTTAATGTCACAGTTTCTCCGGGTGTATCATCAGTGGTGACCATATCACAAAATTCATCTGTTGATTTTAACACAGTCTACACACTCTATTCTGGTTATGTTCTTGGAACATCAACAACTTTTCAACCAACTGTTGAAATTACTGTTTCAAAATCTGCTGTAGCGCCTAGTGATGGTAGTGATGCTATCATATACGTCGATTACATCCAATGTGTAAAGATCGATAATCGTAGCTCTTTGAATGGTTTACTTCAATATTCACCTCCAACAGCAGCAGTTCAAGCCTCTTGGTATGGATTCAATGGTACGTTGTGTCAATATCTGTTTATGCTTCATGTATTCAATAATATTCTTAATTATATATATATATATATATATATATATATTGTAATTTTTAGGTTTTTTGGTTCCAAAAGCTATAGTAAATGATATAATTGTATTATCACCAACAACAATAGTAATTGGTGGTAGTTTCAATAATTTTTCATTTTCCAATATTGTATTATATGATGGAATAAAATTCACTCCTCTTATTAACTCGGGTCTTAATGGCCGCATCAATACGATGGCTCTAATCGATAAAGATTTATTTGTTGGTGGGTTATTTAATAACTTGGCTAATGGGACCCTACCTGGATTGAATAATATCGCGAGATATAACTTTAATGAAAACAGGTGGTATTCTATTAGTGGTGGTGTCAACGGTGAAGTAAATCGTATAGCTTTGGTCAATAATGGAACACCACAAATACATGTTGCCGGTAAATTCAACACCTTAATAAATCCGCAATCTTCCACCCAGAATACCATAATTGGTAATGCCACTTTTGGTTATAGTATGTGGGATAATATGTTAGGAAATTGGGTTAATACGGCATATGTAGATGGCACAATTGGTGACATTGTAGCTTATAATATTCCAAGTTCTCAAAATGGACCTCTTACTTTCTGGGGTGGCAGGATGAATTCCATGCAATCTACTATGTCATTTGGTGGAGGCCTAATTACCAAATCTGGTTATAATTCGCTTCCCTTGTTTCCGCAAACGATGAACGGCGTTACATCAGATTTTATCATTAACAGTGCAGTACAATCGAATGATACTAAAAGTAATAAGGTTTTTACTGTAATTGGTGGCAAATTCCAAATCAATGATATCGTTAACGTAGCCATATTGGACAATAATGTATGGAGGGGTATGTCTCCATCCAGTTTTCGAGGAGAGGTCAAAGTTGTTGTTCTAAGGAACAATATTTTATATGTTGGAAGTGAACTTGATGGTATAGATGGTAGTGCTTTTGCCGTTTACAATTTAGACAGTGATATAACCTATGCACAAACATTGACCGGTAACTTTATATGATTTTACTATATTTTTAAATTGTACACGCGTATATATATATATATATGTATGACCTTTTTGTTTTTTTTTTGCATCTTTATTTAGCCAACGATAAAATTGTTAAAGTCAATGCTATAAAATATCGGTTTGGTACAGACGATTACATTGTTGCTGGCAAGTTTGATAAGGCTGGTCAATCAAGTTGCTCATCTATTTGTTCTTGGAATTCTATTTCGGGACAATGGAAAGCGCTAAACCCGGCTCTTTCCGGTGAAATTGTTTCGATGGACTTCGTAGGAGTAAGTAAACCACAATAAATAATTAATCCCAATACATCTTTCCTATATGTCATTTTATATTTATTCTTTGCTTATTTGATATTGTCCTATTTAGACAAGTCAAAGCCAGAATTTCCTCATCGTCGTTGGAAATTTGGCGATTGGCAATAACGGATTAGTCTATGTTGCTGAATATGATTTTAGTAAAAATACATGGAAAGAACAAGGTACACAAGGGAATGGAGATACACAACTTCCTGGACCCCCGACCGTAGTTATTAATTACTTTCTCGCGAGCAATCAACAATATTTTGTTTCTGGATCTGTTTATAACACTGGTGAGGCTTATATACGAAAATGGGATGGTTCCAAATATATAACCATCAATCCACAACTTTTGCAAGGCTCCGTGATAAACCAAATGTCATTAGTTCCTGCAAGCAGTTCTCACTCAAAAAATGACATTTTGGATCCTCAATGGTTACTTCTAATCAGCGGGACACTCAAATTAAAGGATTATGGTGATGTTAGTGCTGCTTTGTTCGATGGCAATACGATTTATCCTTTCTTGTTGACGTCAAACCGTGAAAAACCGGGTCACATTCTGTCGCTCTTTACGACCATCATTCCTGAACTCCTTGGCTTAGCAAGTATGTTTAATTTTTTTTTTTTTTTTTTTATAAGGCCAAATGATTGCAAGTCTTTTTTTTTAACTTTCAAATTTTTATCTTATTACAGAATTCTTACCAGTTCCGATAGTCATATTGATTTCTGCGGCAATAGCATTTTTCATTGTATTTTTAATCGTTGCGGCTGGTCTAGCTTACGATTTCAGAAGACAACGAAAGACAAAAGGCAGCTTAAAAGCTAGTCCACGAAATTCCGGAAAAGAAGCAATGCGAGAGGGAGAACTATTTGCTACTATAAATTCAATAATAGCACAACATAGTGATCCTCGCCAATCATTAACATCTAGTAACATGAGAAACTCTGCAGCACTTTCCGATGAAAAATCTCATGATTTTATGGGAGGAGCTGGAGTTGCAGCACTTACAACATCTGAATTGGAACCCAAATCAGCAATGCGCGATATCTCTGCCGCTGATAAAGCAAAGATAACTCGAGATTTCTTAGCTAATCACCCAGAAGCACGACAATACTATGCAAGATATCCATTCATTGCAAAAGAAGAGGGAGAATTAAATTTAAATGTTGGAGATTCGATTTATGTGGTGGATACTAGCGAAGATGTCTGGTGGCTAGGATGGAAATATGATGATGGTATGTTAATCTTTTTATCGAGTTTTTCTTTAATTGGTTATGACTAATATTATGACACGTTTGTGGCCAATAGAAACCGGCCGTTTTATACAAGGTATATTTCCAAGTAATTATGTGGTAGAAGATCCAAGTACTACCTCCGGGTCAGTATAATTATCTCACGAACAGAATGAATTTATTCATAAATTATGTTATTGTTGTAAATATTTATTAAAAAAATTAGTTTGATTTTAATTATTTTATGGTCACCAAAACCCTCATAAATATTACTCTTATTTAATTTTTTTTTTTTTTAAATGATAGAAATTAAGTTGTAACAGTATTGACATTTTACTTTTTATTGTGACCGTAATAACAAACGTCCCGTTATTATCTCATATCATACACTACACAAATTCTTTCCTTTCAATCGTTATTATATTAAATTATCATGATTTTTAGATGATTTAACTGCTGGTTTCCATAGTTTTGTAAGATTAGGCCTGGAGACAGATTTGCTATAAAATCACATGTCCGTGATCGTGTTATAAATAAAAATTATTTACATCAAAATATGCATTTTTGGATCCAACTCACCAAAAATAGTTTCCATCTAATTTAAATACGTACGTACGTAAATTACCATGCAAAATACCCGGGTACGCTATAATCTAAAAATATCCAAAACAGGTTTTTTCCAGAAAACAGCCAATAGAATTGCGTTAAACTTTGAAATATATCCGGGTACAAACCACGGGGGATAGGGTATTTTGCATGGTACTATAATATATATATATATATAATAATATATAACTGATAATGAATACCGCATATAAGAACAATAATTGTTATTATATATGCGCTTATTCACATGCTCAACTAACTGTAAGTGCATTGACGATTGTTTGCGTCATATACTCATTAAGACAATGAATTTAAACTAAAGCCTCCAATCAAGGCACCCAATACATTTGCTTTTGTGTAAGTCTAACATCTCGAGCAAATGATGGAATGACAAATACATGTATAAAGAGTTCATTTCTTTGTTTTAATTTCATCAGTTACGTACGTACGTACGTACCTACCTACCTACCTACCTACCTATGTTTATTATGCACTAAAGAATCTCAAAAACTAACTATATTTTTTGAAACTTCCATACGGCGTACTAATAAATATTAAGTTAAAAAAAAAACTTTGTATATACATACGCATATAATTAAACCTAATTTAGCTCTGGCGTTGGGAATTTTTTAAAATAGTACACTTGCAGCAGATGCACCATTAGGTTAGCCAAGCAACTCTCCGAGAATTATACTGATACGTATAGATAATAAATATATTTATACAGTCAACTCTCTTATAACGAACTGACGATTCTTATAATAAAAAAATTTTAAAGTTCTTTATAGAGTAATTCACTATGTTACTCTATAATAAAGTTTTTTTTTTTTTTTGTTATAGTGTAGGTTCGTTATACAGTAAAAAGGTTCATATCCAGTGCCGAATGTATATGATTTCGGGAATCCAAATCGGAATCGTGGTCGGCTGGCCCGAGTTAACATTGCTGTTTAAGTCTATATATTTAATTTTACATTATTTATACAGTTTAAAATATACTATATAAACAAAAAAAGTATACACCAAAATCCCTTTTGTTTTAGAGAAGGTAGCATAATAACGACTTCTCAAAACAAAAGGGATTTTGATTATTTTTCCTACAACTCTAATACGTACCGTAATACCTCTGTAGTTTTATTATTTATTTATTTTAAAAAAAGGTACGTACGTACCTTAAACTGTAATGAGAAGTCAAGTAGGGATTTGACCGGCGTTATACATATATACTGTATTTCGCGTAATAACGCATATCTGCGCGTTCGCTCATGGGCGTTATTTAGAATACGCGCATGGGCGTTATTTTGAAATACTTAAATATAAAATTAAAGCATCTTCTTGCATAAATAGTACCCAAAAAAATGCACCGAAACTAGGCTTAGTATGAAGTAAACATGCTTTTGACTTTAATAAAAGTTATGCTTCAGATTGAGACGATTCTAATAATGGTCTAATAATAGTAAAATCATCAAAATGGCCCAGCAGATAAAATTTTGAAGAGCCATTGCAAGTGATCTACTGGGCCGATTTTGCCGCCACCTCATCTGAAGAATAACTTGCTAAAACCTAAATTAGTTTCAGAGCACTTTTTTGTTTGCTTACTATAAATAAGTATTCATTTCTATAAATGCGCGTTATTTCAGGACGCACATGGGCGTTATTTCGATGCCTTATATATGTTATTTCTAGGGGGACGCAGTTTTATTACGCGAAAATACTTCAAGAGACCTTTTAAAACATGAGAAACGTCTAAAACCAGAGTGCCCGGTATATTAATCATAGGCATGTCACCATGGTACACCAGCATAGCACGCCAGTGGCATGCTCTGGAATGCTATTCGCTAAATGGCATGTTGAATTATTTTAAACATACTAGGTTTTAAAACAGATTAAATCCTCACTGTGTTACTAATTAAAAAATGTTTCTTACGCAATTTTACCTAACTCTAACGTGGATTATAATTTTTATTTTTATCCTAAAAATTTTTTTAATTGGCTATGAAAGTACTTAAGTGCATGAGAACACTGTCTAGATTTTTCTTTTAATAAAATTATTTTTTTACTATATATTAATTTTTAGAATTAGCAGATATAGACAAAATTATCTTTCTAAGTTTTTATTAGTAACTTAAAATTGTTGTTTTTTTATTTTGTAATTTGTTTTATTAGACTAAATTGTATTACTTAATTAGCAAAATTAAATAGTAACTAATTTGCTAACATATAGTAATTTTAAAGCAAATTGCTACTTCCAAGTAAAAGTTAACAATAATCGAGATCATCTTAACATCAAAAAAAAAAAACAATCATATAATAAAAAAATTTATTTTCTTAATCTGTATAATAAATTATGTGACTAATATAAAACTGCATTATATTGTACTATAATTATTTTTAATTAAAACTAATATTAACATTATACTAATCCTATAGAAATTAAACAATATATAAGCAACTATATATTACAATAATTAGATATTTTATTATCTCTATAATTAAACTATATTTAACTAATATTAGTAAACAGAATATTAATCTAACTCTAATAATATAACCTAATATACAGTATATCTATATTTATAAGATTAGTACTAAAGAAGTATTATAATTAATACAATATTTGCTAAATAACAAAGCATATATTCTATTTGGTATTATTTATAAAATGATTAAATATACTAAATCAAATATATTATTAGCTCTTATAATACTTTTTAACAAATGTATTCTTACTCAAAATATTTTTAAACAATAGATGAATAATAGAATCTACTCTATATCTAAAAAATCTTAGTTTAATAATAATTTTATAATACTTATTTAATTAGATTTATTAAATATACAAAAAAATTATACAATATATTAAAATCTTTACTAATTGATTAATACAAGTTCTTATAATATATTTCTATTTAATTTCTATAACTATATTGCTATTTCTAACAATTCAACTAATTACTCTATATATAGGCTAAATGTTATAGAAAGAATAAAATTGACAAATTTATTAAAATTGATTTTTTTATATAAATTAATTTAAATAAGATCAAGATTATTTTTCATATAAGATACAAAGTTGTAATATTAATAAAATTTTGCAGTATAGCTTTGTAAAATTTGCAATTTCTTATAATTTATTATAAAATTTATAATATAAAAATTAATTTTCTCAAAAACAAAAAAAACTCTTTCTGACGATCACTTGTACCAACCAGTACCTGAAAGCAAGTAGAAGACTCAAGACCAGAAGCGAACAAATAACTTGTAGTT